GTATTATTTAGTTTCAAGATCTATAAATGTATAAAATTTTAATATAATACGTTGAGTGTCTCGAAAATAATCTTAGTAAGAGAAAAGTAATCTTACATGAAAAAATAGAAATAGTAAGAAGAGATATAAATACGATTTTATAAACATAAATATACATTTTAACTCTTTTTCTTAAATATATATGAGAAAACGAAGCTTCAACTTTTATTTAATGTTATTGTATTGCGATATTTATCTGCTTCTTTTCTTTTTTGTATTCGACCTGCTACAATTGGACTAAATAAAATGGGATCGATTTCGATCAGATCTCCCTTAAGAAAACAATTTGTGATCCAGCTGACGATCCATCCCGTGATTATAGTGAGAAGAAATCCGAGTGGACAGTACCACATATAGGATATGCGATAAAGATAGAAATAGGACTCCTCTTCCTCCAATCTGTAATCGCGAAATGTTTATTAAATCTCCTGCTTTGTCAATAATAATAAATAATAAACAGATAATTTTATAATATAACAAACAGATAATTTTTGCTCACTGATTTTCGTAATGTAAATTTGAGTAAATTAACGATTTCCCATCAATTTCATGATACATGGTAGTGTTGTTGAATTCGCAACCGTCCGTTGAGACATTCAATCGTGAGATCGGTGGTTTCGGTTGTCCGAATCCTATCCACAAAGAGAACATGAGACTAAGGACGAAACCCATGATCGCGCCCTTTTGGTTACTCGATGGGAAGAACATGCCAAGCGTGTATAAACCCAACATAGGTCCACCTACGACACCAAAGATCGTCAGAGCCGCCTGCGGAAGATTAAATTTTAATTTTAAAAATAGTTGGATACTAATTAATTTTAAAAGGATAAGGATAATTTAAAGGGATTTTAAACCCGCGAAGAATATTTGAGAGTGAATGATAAGTTTTCTAAAAAAATAATGGAATTGATGTTTTAAATGATTTAGATCAATTTTAATTTGTCGATACTCGTCGAACTATTTTTTTGTTTTGTATGTTTTCATTTTATCATAAGTATGATTCAATGTTGAAAATAAATTTTACATACTTGCAACAACCCACCAAGAAATTGTGCTAGGAAAGCAACACCCACGCACGATAATCCAACTACAAGAGCCAAAACTTTGCTGATAATTATCGATGTTGTAGCAGATAAAGCTCCGTTTCTGTAATCAATATTATTCGCACTTCATTCATATACATGGTAAAAAAAGTTGTGTTAAATTTTAGAGTATCGAAGATGTTATTGTTTCGCAATTAGTAATCCGAAAAGAAAGAAAGAAGAAAAATGTGGAGAAAGAAGATGAAAAGAGATGAACAGAGAGGGGGAACCGATACATGCGGCCTTGAAACATTTTTGGACTGCTTGAAAACCAGATTATTTCCGAAACAATTATTCTCTTATATTCCGCATACATCAATTTCATGCACTCGGGAGTTTTACCTTACGCGCCAGAAAGGCTTGATATAATCTTGAAGAATAACAGCGGCGAGGGAATTAATTGTGGCCGAGATGGTACTGAGTCCAGCGCTGAAAATCCCGGCTATGAAAAGTCCGGGCACACCGGGATAATTCGATAGCGTATCCATTACATACAAGGGCATCAATTGATCATTCGAGCTGATTCTGCCCTCATTGAGCGGATCACATTTATAATACTTGGAATATATCGCTAATCCAGAAAAGCACAGGGTAAGCGACATGATCGACGACATTGGCCAACTCCACCATAATGCGCGCTGGGCGGCTGCTAGGTTACTAATGTAGGAAATAAGAAATAAGAAATGAAGATAATTGAGGATGGAAATGAATTTGGAAATTTCATCTTTTCGATATGTCACATAATCTGTACGCGATTAAAATTTTATAAAATTTTATATATGCTTTGTGCGTAATCATAATAACACAAAAAGCCGTTATTATATTCTTAAACTTGATCAGTTCATTTGAATGGAAGTTAAGTTAAATTAATTTTGACTGAATTAATCTTACCTGATAGTCAACAGTCTTTGAACTTGAACTTGATTAACGCCGTACAAGGACAAGTAAGTAAAAAAACCACCAAGAAGCAAATTCCACCAAGTATGTCGTACAGTTGGATCCGGAGAGATGCTGCGGACATATATATAAGAAATTAAAAAACAAATAAATATATTGCTGGCAACTTTATTTTATTTCATCTTACTTATACTTTCGGTTAGTCATCAAAATAAAAAATTTTCCATGTTTAAATATATTTTAAATAATATACATATAAGATTGAAATAATATTTAAGATTATATGAGAATATTTGTCTTTATATTTTATATAAATATATACTTTTCTCAATTTTTCTAAAAAAAAAATTGTTGTTTAAACTTAATTAGAAAATTTTGAAATTACAAAATGTTTTAACTGAACATCGTTTCCCCCCTCCCTCCCCAATAAAAGTATTAAATAACTATGATGAGTAAAATTGAAAAATTAAAAATTTATTTATTGTGATTGAAATTGCAAAGCTTATTATATTTTATTCCCATAAGGGTGGATGATTAATAAAAATTTGTATGTAAAAATACAATTACGGAAGATGTAAAAATGTCATAAAGATATTTATGAAGAAAGACTTTTATGTTATTCGAATAATTACTTGTCGAATTCCAATCGGGATCCTTCTCGAGCGATTTGCCAAATTTGATCTAGACCACCGGAGTGAATAGCCGCGGTGACAATAACTGTGACAACGGCAATTAGCATTAATAGACTTTGAAATACATCCGTAATAAGTACCGCCTTGATACCTCCGATCGTCGAATAGAAGGTGCAGATAAGTCCTAAACCAATCACACTTGCGGTCCTTGAAATATTCGTGGTAGCTTCTAGGGCCAACGCAGGTGCATACAACACCACGCCGGTATACAGAAGTAATTGGAGCAAAAAGGCGAAACTGGCTATTAATCTGGTGGTCGTGCCGAAACGCTTCTGCAGATACTGCAACGGATCTTCATATAATTATGTGATCAATTTTGATCAACTAAATTTTAAAGTAATATACTTATTACTTATTACTCATTACTATCTCATTTTCAAAATTCCCGTGAGATTATGTGCCATCTTAACTTAAAGATATATATCTATTTGTATGTAAAAAAAAAAAACATTTTTCTTATTTTATCAAATAATTTAAAAAAACTTTCTGATTTGAGTATAAAATGTACATGTGCATAAATACTTGGAAAAGAATTTATAATTAATAGAGATCTTGACTTTTGCTCAACGTGATGATATTAAATTTACCTCAAAAGCACTCATATTATCCAATCTAAAAAACACCGGTAAATAAAAATAGGCTGCAAATGGCGTGGCAACACCATAAGAGATGTTGATCACAGCGTATTGTGTACCGTAAAGATAATTTTCAGAGCTTACTCCGAGTAAACTGACTGCCGATAAATATGATACCATCAAACCTATCGCTACCGGGATCACTCGCATTGATTTATTCGCCATGAAGTATTCCTAGAAAAAGACACATCCAAGAAAAGTTATTTCAATAATTTCGTTTATATCACTTTAATAAAATCTCGTGAGATATTTTTATAGAAGAGATATATATCAATAATAAATCAAAAGTAATAAAGCATAAAATTAAAAGTTATTAATATATAACAAAATATCCTAAAGTGAAATATAAAAATATAATACTATATGCGATGCAAAACAGAAATATAGTATTTAATTACCTCGGTTGACTTCTGACGACCACCAATAAGCCAATAGTACATACCAATAGCGGAACTGATCAATATTAATACACCAATCACTGCATAATCCGCTGCAGTTAATGCAGCCATAATGTTCTTTATAAATTTACCACTAAGTCACTACTTAAAAATGAATTGTTTATAACACGATGCTTTTTTAAATTGAAATAATTTATTTTATTCTTGAAATCATTCTGTAAGCACTTTGCTTCAATCTTAAAAGACACAACGATGCTGTTTCGTCTGGATTGCTTATCAACATATCATCGTGATATATTTGTCATTGTGCTACGTATGTACTGTAGACGACTAATAATCTTTAATGTGATCTAATCTCTCGTATATATCTCACCATCAGAAAAATACACAGAGAATACTTTGTCACTTTGTGCAATAATATATTAACGTACGTATTATTTCTAAAATGTTCATCAATACGCTCCGCGGTAAAAAATCTAGATAATGAAATTTATTACACGCAGAAGTTTAATAAGTAGTCATGTAGGACATTTACAACATTTTACACACACACACACACACACAGGCGCGCGCGCGCCATACATGTATATTTTTGAACGTAATATGTAGATCTTATTGTTTCTGCAGTAAAATCATTCCGGATGTTCATATCGTATCGCGAAAGAGCATAGATGATTATTCAAGAATATTTGTGGTACTTTACAAACGTTATGAGATTGTACTTTGAGACTGATATAAGTAGTCACCTTCAAACAGTAATTATTGCTGGAATTCATAGATTAGATAAAACGCAAGTTTTTCTTATATCGTTAGGCATCTTCCACTCAAAATTAA